ACAAAATATGAAGAACAAGCGAATTGTAAAATAGTAGACCAATTCCATAATGCTCAATAAAGATATGCCCAAAAACAAACCCAGCAAACCTCCACAAATTGCCAGAAAGTCGTTGAACGAATATGCTTCAGTCCTCTTGAGTGTCTCTACTTGATGGTTACCATAGAAGATGCTCACTTTGGATTGTCGATTTTTAAAATGAAAAGATAAAGTTAATAGTGACCATTGACACTGGAGTGACAGGTCTTTGTGCGTTTTCAAATGTATTAAATCTTAATGCGGATAACGAGTGGTAAAAAAAACGAATTAGTCACTGATACCAGGTCTGGTTGTATGATGTTTGGAGAATATCTAATTGATAGGGAACACTACTGACATCTGTATTGTATTCAATGCTAGTGCACGCGGGCATGCAATTGCAGTGCTCACGAAATGATTTTGCATGGTTATCATTTTGATACAATTTATCAGCGGCTGATACATAGCATTTTATACTTGCTGGACCACAAATATTTGTCGCATTGTCTCCTACAAAATATATTGTTTGACACCTCTCCTCTAGTTGACACCACCCAAATTAATGAAGTATCCAACGAAAATTACGTACTTGGCATCGAAAATCGCACACAATTGCACATGATTCGAGTGAAATTTGCCAAACACTCCACTGTCATTACAAAATATATACAGTATAATAATATAAATAATAGTATAAATATAATACCTTCGCAATTGCCTCCTGTGTATAGCTTGAAAAATCGCAAACGACGTTCCGAGCTGAAGAAGCATTGACGTTGACTTGGTTTATATTTTCTTAGTGCATTTGATGTGGTTGTTAATTTGGGTTTAATCGTAACTTGAAAATCATTCAAATAAGGCATAGTCAAGAAGACTTTAACTCCAAGACCAGTATCTCGGCAAATATACTCTAGATGATCTACATGGATATTTGAAAATACATATAAACCAGTGCCAAGTCCTGTGTTTGATGTACGCCTTGGATATTCGTTTTGAATTTTTCCTTCTTCGTATCCATTCTCTAAGCTCCAATGTAACACATTTGGATTATTTTTTACAATCATCATGCCAGGAGCCATTCTACAAAATCAGTAAAACATTTTCACATGCGGTTGATTCGATTCTGAGTTGAAAGCCTTTTAAATTACTCTTCTGTGTAAATGTCACGCGAGTTTAAAGCGTTGAATGCAAAACAGAGACCCTCATCAGTTAAAACCGGAATTAACAAGTGGGTTGTATGCTGCCATTTGAAAAAAACAGTAAATATAAAATGAAGTGGTAATGCAGTATCTATGATTGAATCATAAATCGAATCGAATGCCAATTTGTTAAGATGATCAATTTTTAACCGCTTTGACAAATGTGGGCATAAATGTATTACAGCGTTGAATCTTGGTTTACTGAAAAAAAGAAATTAAATGAAATAGTAATCAAATGCAAAGAAAATGAAAAAAAATCAAGCTGCTTACATTTGATCATACAGTCGTTCTATTCCATTATTGACAATATATTTAAAATTAAATTTACTTAGATTGGCTTTGGTTTCCGGGCAAATTGTAACAATGGGAATGGAATATCCCATGTTGATGTTTCAGTTTCAGTTAAGCTGATTGTCACCGGATTATTGGCCCAATGCAACCAAATTTGTCGAATTGATGAGCCACACAGCCAAATGGATGAGCAGATTGCGATGAACCACCACAATCTATGAATGGACATGAAGAAGTCATTTTTAGTAAGCATTCGAGCTAGTAAATATTTCCAAACCTTTCGATCCAATGTCGTTGACGTTCCGTAAAATATCGCACACCATGGATAGTGCTCTTGTCGAAATAGTCCAGAATGAAATCTTGCAAAGTCTTCCGGACATCGTCGCATGACAATAAAAAATCGAATCAATTCACTTTCACCAATAATCGTTCAACAAATGGACTTACTTTGAATTTGGGGCTTTTTCTCAGATATTGTATCAATTTCATTTTTATATATTTGCACGAATGCGTATTCAAAGCAAGATATTAAGCGGTGAGTTTATACTTAAAATTTTAAGTATATATACCGACATGGTATAGATTCTCTGTATGATCACATGTATGAAGCTTGAACTCTATTAATTTCCTTTGCACTTTAAAAATACTTCATTTTATTTTATTTTTTCTCAGTAAACCAAGATTTAACGCTGTAATACATTTATGCCAACCTTTGTCAGGAGATTTAAAAATTGATCATCTTGGATATATGGCATTAGATTCGATTTATGATACAATCATAGATATTGCACTGCAACTCAATTATTCCACAAATAGCAAAACTGGATGGAAACGCCCAATTTGTAAAAAAGACGATTTGCTAGTCTCTGTTTCGCATTCAACGCTTTAAACTCGCGTGACATTTACACAGAAGAGTAATTTAAAAAGCGTTCGACACAAAATCGAATTAACCGCATGTGAAAATGCTTTGCTTATTTCGTAGAATGGCTCCTGGCATGATGATTGTAAAAAATAATCCAAATGTGTTACATTGGAGCTTGGAGAATGGATACGAAGAGGAAAAAAATCAAAATGAATATCCGTGGCGTACATCGCATACAGGACTTGAAAATAGTTTTGCTCTATATACTGTAATCCACGCAGATCATCTAGAATATATTTGCCGAGATGATGGTCTAGGATTTAAAATATTCTTGACTGTGCCAGGAGAAGAAATAAGTATGATGCGTAATTTTCTACGAGTTCCCCTTTTGAGTGATTTTCAAGTTACGATTAAACCCAAATTAACAACCACATCAAATGCACTACGAAAATATAAACCAAGTCAACGCCAATGTTTCTTCAGCTCGGAACGTCGTTTGCGATTTTTCAAGTTATACACAGAGGGAAATTGCGAATTTGAGTGTTTGGCAAATTTCACTCGAATCATGTTCAATTGTGTGCGATTTTCGATGCTAAGTACGTAATTTTTGTTGGATACTTCATTAATTTGGGTGGTGTCAACTAGAGTAAACATTATATTTTGTAGGAGACAATGCGACAAATATTTGTGGTTCAGCAAGTATAAAATGCTATTTATCAGCCGCTGATAAATTGTATCAAAATGATAACCATGCAAAATCATTTCGTGAGCACTGCAATTGCATGCCCGCGTTATACAGATGTCAGCACTGTTCCCTATGAATTGGATATTTTTCAAACATCATTCTCGAAACAGAGCCGGCATGAGTGAGTTATTGGTTTTTTTACCAGTCGTTATCCACATTACAGCTTTTAACCTATCACTATAGTCTCAATGGCACTATTAACTTGACCTTCATTTTTATCTTATCATTCCAAAAATCGACCAACCAAAGTGAGCATCTTCTATGGTAACCATCAAGTAGAGACACTCAAGAGGACTGAAGCATATTCGTTCAACGACTTTCTGGCAATTTGTGGAGGTTTGCTGGGTTTGTTTTTGGGCATATCTTTATTGAGCATTGTGGAATTGGTCTACTATTTTACAATTCGCTTGTTCTTCATATTTTGTCGCCGTAAAGAAGATGGCAACATTGTTGTGCCATTCCAGCAGAGAACAACAAACATCGTTTGCATTAATGGTCGTGTGTTCAATTAATTTTTGAATGCCATGGTAACTTCATGGTCATAAACATATCGATAACTTGATGGGTGGAGTTTCAGATGGTATGAATTTATAAAATCACTGTGTGTTGTCGTTAGTAGCACCAATTGCATTTTATGAGACCTTCCGCTACTCATATGCTTTGCTATAAGTATTTCCACTTTTCATTTAAAAAAAAGTCCATTAAACAAATAAATTCAATAAATAAGTAGATTTTTTATAAATATTGTATGTACATTCTGACATTTTACATAAACTCATTCTATATTCGAAATAAGTATTAATAAATAAATTCAATAAATACACATATTTACTTTATTTATATAAAAAAATCATTTTTTTTGTCGTTATTTTACAATGGTTTGATACAATGTCAGTGCCAAAAGTGAAAATATGCGCATATAGATAAATGCTTTTGTCCAGCTTGCCAATCTCTGCTGAAGTTTTTTTAATTCATCGCTTTTGAAGCGCGTTCGTAGTATTTTTGCACGAATAACTAGTTTAATGAAAAAGAGAAAAATGAATTATAGCATAATAAACCATTGCCAATGGTAATACAATGATTTTTGGATAGGATAGATTCGTAAGATCTCCGCAACATCCGGATCCAAGCAATACGATTCGCATGCCATAGCAATACGGAATAACGAATGTATGTATCATGCGGCTACGTACGCACGCTTGAATTCGGATCTTGCGGAGATCTTACGAATCTATCCTATCCAAAAATGACCATTGGTCAGGTCTATAAAATTAACATATTTTGAAAACTATTACAGTCCTTCCTTGAAAATGGAATTCTTCAGGAATGGATGTTTACGAGAATGCCGATTTTTCTGTATACATCTCAAAAGATTGGTACCAGTTTTTGCAGGACATTTCATTTTACTTATTCCGTCTTTTATTTAAATCGTTATTTTTAGAAGGACCCCAATAAAATTGAATAATTATTTTGTATTTTTCATCATTCATCACGTTTAACTTAAACGGTATAAGTTTATAAGTAAAATAAAATGTCTTACATCCGTAAGATGAACTTTTCCGCACTGTGATCCACGACATGAAAGAAAACTAAATCTGACATTAGTTTTAGATAAAAATAATTTTCGAAGCACTTTTCTTACAAAAACTACTAAAGATGGGAATTTTTGTATCGGAGCCATGCCTATATGATATCGTAATCATGTGAAAATTTGCAGAGGTTATTTTTTTCACAAAAAGTTAACATTCTGAAAGTTTGAAGAAATTTCAATGCATATTAAGGGTACTTCCCATACAAAATTTCGTTTTAGAGCGAAAAATCCAAAATATTGTTCGGGAGGTGCCCCTAATATTCGTTGAAATGTCTTCAAACTCTCGGAATAGTATTTATGTGTGATAAAAATAACCTGTGCAAAGTTTCAGCTCATTACGATATCATACAGGCATGGCTTCCATACAAAAATCCAAATTTTTTGAATTTTTTGTATGAAAAGTGTTTCGAAAATTGATTGTATCGCAAAACTAACGTCATATTCGGTTTTCTCGTACCCAAAAACCCCCCAATACACATTTTTGAGTGTTTAAGAATACATTAAATATCACTTTTGGAAGAAAAATTGAATTTTTCCCATGGATGGACATGGGCATCACACCAGACATGACACTTTACCCTGTCAACCAAAGTCGCTCAAAATCTAATGGTTTCTATTCCTCGGCACCCCCAATCATCCTGTGAAGTCAGATTTTGAATTACTTTTCTTGTTTGAAAGTTATCGTGTTAACAAATTTTTGCGTACAGGGTACAGCGTACAGCGTACAGCGTACAGCGTACAGCGTACAGCGTACAGGGTACCACGCACATACATTCGGACATCGAAAAAACGCTAGATTCGTGTTCCCTGGCTCCTAAAACACCCAGAAAACATGTTTTTTGAGGGTGTTAATTTTTCGACCGATTCCAATACTTTACCTTACACACTAGGTGTGTGCGGAAAAGTAATAAAAATCAATCATACCATAGAGGGGAATTCACCGCGCTTTGCTTCATCGCCAAATAATATACGAGATTCCAAAGCCATGATTTTATGATTTCCAGAAAATTCACTAGATGCTAAACTCGAAACAAAAATAAATGAAATTAAAGAATATCGAAATCAAGAAATCTGATTGTTCATTGTAATCAAAATTTCATTCGTTTTCACATTTAATACA